TTCAAAGTCATGATTCTTTATCACTCCACTGACTATACCCGTTTCAGCTTTTTTAAGGCCCCTTAAACACTATTGTGAGTTAGCAATTCAGCAGAATTTTAATAATTAATTATTCAATCACCAGGCTTTAGCCATGAAAGAAGAATTGGATGAAGCTCTCGAAGCTCTTAGAAGTGCCCTTGCTATCCAAGACGAAGTGTTAGGAAACCACCAGGAGACAGAACGTTCACACAGGGAGATAGCTCACGTCCTAAAAAAGCTTGGGCGACACGAAGAAGCCAAAAGAGAGGATCTACTGGCCCAACAGGTGTGCTCGTCTGTTTTTGAGCCCCAGCCCGAGTCCTGATTATACTTTTAGTATCTTTTGAAACTGTTGATATACAAGTACCGATCAGAACAACTCAGTGCGGAAAATAATCAGTTAAACTTAGTGCTATTCTTAACCATTAGCTTCAATATAGATCTTAAGTTATACTTTCGCATCGGTTGACCTCTTTAGCAAAACGGTGGCTTCCAGAGGAGCCTATGTACTTTTTCGCTCAGTGAGTAGAGTAATGAGCGCGACGTTGATAAGGGCGGAAAAGTTTTTAGTATTCGGAGTACATTTTTAAAAGCTGGCGTTTGCGACTTCATCTCCTCGTCCCATGGTCTTAGATAAGGCTTCAAGGGAAGAGAAAAGACATAGGATTTTGTTCGCTGTAAGACACAGTCGAATAATACCTTACTGAGGCAATCTTCCCAATAAAATTGGAAACAGGGACGCTTTTTAAAGTGGGCGAGAAGCAACACTTTTGTATGGCAATTCTTCGGACTATTGTTGAAGTTATAAAGTTACAAAAGTTAGGTTTTATTCACTGAAATGTTGCTGTGTTTGAGAGAGAGATCGAGTGAAAGAGAGAGAGGTTGGGGGAGGGAGAGGAAGAGAGAGAGAAGAAGAAAGAGAAATAATACTATACCATAGAAATTTGGTCGGGACCTCCACGAAAAGTTTTTATTACTGTGTAGAAAGTAATCGCTGAAATAAGGCACTGTATCTAATTTCCTTCGCTCTCTGATTGGTCTGAAATCTCGCGCCAACTACAAATCCCAGACCTAAAACTTAAACTAGTCACGTTTTCCATCGCATCAGTAGTTTGCTTGTCATCACTTAAAACTCTTACTGTCTCCATGTGAGCCTTCATGCTGATTGATTTGGTTCCAGTTTTACGACAGCCGATCGATCGGAAAGAGCGTTGTATCACCTAAGGCATAAATGTATCCCGTGATATAGTGTTTTTTCAGAACTTAAGTACAGAACACACAAAAGTCATTTAGGGTCTTCCTGTGAAGAGCCACTTTTCAGTTCTTTCCACATAATCGCTTCGTCTGTGATTTAACTTTGAACAAACCTATGGAAATACGGAGTTCATTTGTGACAGGATAATGATTACATTTAGTTGTTGGTTAAGTTTTGAATA